TACTGTGATTGGCTTTGTCGTTTTTGGATAGGTACTCATCTCCAACCTCTCTAACACAATTTATATAGTTTTCACCATTGCCGTGTGCTTAAATATTATTATACGAYGTTAACCGGGTGCAGGCAATGGCAACACGGCAAAATAGTAATTATTATATTAAATGGACGTATCTCTCGCGTTTTGATCAACAACAACGGCGGTGACCTAAAAATGAAAACAGCGGAATAATATATTAAAATTTATTGTACACTTTTTTTTTTTTTTCAAATTAATATATGCGGGTGCGCCGTAGGATTTATAATGTAATATTTTYGGGAGTCCTACAGAGAGGCTTTTTCGTTTATTTTCCACCCACCCGACGGTGCATCGTTTTCATTTTTTTCACCCAGGGCTGTCCGTATTTAAACAACAAGATGTGTATTTARCATTTAATATGTTTTTATGATCTCCTCGTGCGCACATAAMMTAATAATGTTATATTATTAATATTGCCTGCACACGGATGACTTAACCACCGATGAGCAGATTTATGCACGTTAATCGTTGGACATGGATGCATAATAATAATTAATAAAGCAGATGACGAATATTGTATACGCCGKGGTTGCTGCGGTAACGTTTGTTAGGCGGCGACCACTGAACAGGTCATCAATGTTTACTAGCGGGCGGCGCTGGTGGAATAAGAAGTAGTATATATAATATGATTTATGTTCGTTAATTTACCACTAGCTTTTAATTCCATGCTTTCTCGGGACGACGACGTTTGAAAGGTGCACGTCTTGCGAGATTCCGTCTTAATCCGTCTCCCTTCATCACACTATTATAAGAACGCCGTCACCCGTCCTCRCCGGCGCTCAGTCATTTCAGTATCGGGACGGGAACAAATCGCCCAAATAGGAGGCGTGCTATTGCGACACACAGTCGCTTTTATCACAGCAGCGAATCGCAAAATCACTGCAGTGAGCCTATCTCAGAAAACGACCGMAGCTACGACTATGATAATATTATTATTATTTTTTTCGAGTCGGATAAAAACACAAAATTCAATTTGAAAACAGCACCTACTATCTATTGCAGATAACAATATAATATACATAACRCCGCGCACGATGACTTTTTATCGATAAGCGATCACTATAATATCACTGCAGTGTTTATGCTGTGTATACGTTTACTTGCTGAGTCCGTGGTACGAACTTTTTCGAATGATGATAATATTATCATATCTAATCATAACAATAATATACAATAKAGGTGTGCATATAAAATATAATCTGCAGTGCGCAGATGGGACGGAACAGAACGACCGCACTCGTTATAGGTCCTATTATATACGTATAATATTGTACTTATTGCGGTCCTATGTATAATACCTACATACTTATATAYTTATGTATATAGGTTTAAAGGTAAACCGTTTAAATGATAAATTCACGAACGAAAGTAAAGACTGCTGTATTTTTCGAATACACGGCCGATTCGTACACGTGTAAAATGCATTGCGGGTATGCAAATCGTACGTGAAACTCGACGAGATGGTGAACTTGTCAATAATTATGTGTTTCAGCTTGGCGGACTGTAGAATAATGGTACCTAAAGCTGTACCGGAAATACGATTCCGTTGTGCGTGTTACGTAGAAAGAGAGAGATAGAGAGAGAAAAAAAGAGTGAGAGAGAGAGAGAGAGTGGGGGGAAAGATGGATGAGGAAACTTTAAAGTTTAAAGTTAGATTTTGGGGACGTCGCGCGTTAAAAAAATAATGGATTAAGCGCAGAATTTCCAGAATACTGCAGGAATGATGTTTTGATGAACTCATAATGAGCCGTGGTCGGCTTTGTATCAAAATTGAATGTAAATCATTTGCGAGTGCTCATCGTTCACATATAATGTATGGGTACTTACTATACTTATAACTTAAACCTATTACGTTCCGTAGCTAATTAAAAACTATTACACATATTATTATATAATATGTAATGAAACATCGGATGAGGCGAACCCCCGAGGAATGGTAATCACCCCTCCAGTTCCATGCTTGATGAAAGCCGATATAAGACTGTTAGGTACTTTTGAATAATTTTAAATTCACTGAAATAGTACAAGTAATAATATTGTTTTCGTCGTCCACGTGCGTGTATACGGAGGAAAACAATTACCAAAAACATGTCGATATACAGTAACATAATTGAAAAAGTAAAAAGTTTATATGGTGTCGTTTAACCGTCGGTTTTGTGCAAGTTTTTAATAACGATATATTATTATAATCAGCCCATTTCGTACTTTACGGTGACGGTCAAGTGGATGGAACCGAATAATTTATATAATATTAAGGTTTCTGCGCGACAGGCACACCGGCAAGTGGCACAATTTTATATTTTTACCATTTCTCGACGATCAAAACGACTTTAATAAACTAAAATTTGTTCAAAAATTCACGGTTCTACGCAGTTATTCATTTTAATTGCTCAAAAGAACTTCAAAAAATATCAAAAAAAAAAAAAAAGTTAACTGGCAATCCAACCTTTATAGTACAACACGAATAATTTTATATAATATTTTATCATCAAAATAAATTGTAGTAACTACGTAATTCAAATACCTTTGAAAAATATATTATTTTCTTTTAGCGAAAAGTGTCTGATACAATTCTGTGGATAGGTTAGGTAATTCTATTTAATTAAAAATATTATTTAAAAAAATGTGATTCTATTGGAAAAAATAAATCAGCAAATGGCATTTTCCTTTGTAAATAAAAATATAAGAAAAATAAAATATCTAAGGAACAACATTTCAAAATACGCACATACGTAAAATAAAAACAAAACGATTTCTCCTACCAAAAACATAACCTAAGAATGTTAAGAAAATATTCGTTTAATGCGCTCGGATTTTCATGTAGCTTACGACACGATCGAGTAGAAAAATATACATGTCCAATTATAGTGATGTAACTTTTATGAACAGTGAAAAATCTAAAAACCTATATTGATGGACACTATCGGAATTAATATCTCTACGACGGACATTAACAAAAATCACTAACCATCAGATTATAATGTTAATACTCGGACGTTTTGTTCTATTTGTATTCGTCTCTTTGTTCGTTCTCGAGTTCTACACAGACACAAGCCCGTTTCACTGTTGCAGTGCACAATATAAAAATATAGTCACGTCTCATTAATGCAGAATAAAAACCACGGTTGAGCATTTTGATAATATTATATTATCGTGTGTGGGTCGATTTATAACGTGCGAACGTGTGAAATAAAAAAAAAAAATGTTTAAAAAACCAAAACATCACTGTTTGTACACATAATATTTGCGATGTGTGTTTCGACCAAAACATTTTTAATACAATCGTTTCGCTTACGAGTCGAAAATAAATACAAAGAATAACAAAAACGTGCTGAAAAAAATAATTAAACCATAATAGTAATAAATCAACGACAACGACAACGGTTAGGTGGCTGTTCCATGCGCGTCGGAATAGTTTCGGTTTCCTACCATCGGTTTGGTCGCGCCTCGGCAGACCACGTTTTTATTTTAAGCGTTTGCAAAATATTATGGTTCAACGCGATATTTTTGAGTCCAAAATCTAACCCAACTTCAACAAATCCCTGCTTTGTCTACATATACTATTATAATTTATCATTATTATTGTTGTTATTATTATTATTATTTTTACTATTAAGTGCATCGCGTATACGTGTTTTAATAATAACGTATATTGTAGTGTACTTTCGTCATACTCTGCAGATGATCGATAAAATAAATATTAAAAAATCTCGGGTTATTTCCCCCATACGTGAGTCATATAATAACATAATCGCTTTTGTTGCTCCTTAAGCGACGTATTCATGTATGAAATTCTGTACAATTTTAAATACAAAAATTTAAATAGCTTTTCACTGCACCTATTTACTTATGGCTCACTTAATCTCACGCATACTGCAGATTGTCATGTGATATATCAATCATGATTAGGGGTCTCGTAATAAATCAACTGTAGTGTTTATTATGTTCAATACCTATTTCGCAGTTTAGCATGCGAACGTATCGATAAAAAAATAAAAAATAAGAAAAACAGACGTGTAAACAATAATTATTTAACTATTATTTCGCCGAAATACTTGTGAATTCGACCTTGGCCGTTCGATAAGTGATTTAGGTGACCACAAAAGGTTAAAGACATTGTGCTTAAGTCCAAAGGTTCATATTTATTATTTATCAACGTGTGCTTTCAATATTATGTATTATATATAGAATAATTCTTGGTAGGTACCTACTTCTGAAGTATGCAAAAACAGGTGTGCATTATTGATTTGTAGCATACACGCCTTGGAATATTTTCCTTCTCATTAGATTTCTTTTTCGTTTTATATAACATGCAATTGCTAACATTACTAGTAACAAAGAAAAACCTTTTAAAAAACGTCATTGCAACAGCCAAACACGACACTATACCCTGACCTTAATGCATTTTAAAACATAATATATTTTATGAAGTCGTTAATATTTGCGGATACAACTGTTATGATTGTTCTACAGATAATACACACATTTTATGTACATTTTACATCACTTATTATATGGCTATACAATCAAATATATATTCGCTCTAACAGTACTTAACAGTCATAAAATCATATTAAAAACTAGCTGTAGGTACCATTAAATAATATGTACATAAGTATTTAGAATTAAAACTATAGCTGTGCTTAAAATTGGGCGCTAAATCATAATACGGTAGTACATTTAATACTACAATATGTATAAATGATGATATTGGAAAGGGCCTGAGTGCAAGTTATTACAAGTGACGGTGCTCATGTATTTAAATCTAAAATAAAGTTGCATTTTTGTATTATGATTTTAATCTTTTACTATTAACTTTTTTTTATCAATTTTTAACAAAAATTGCATTTTTGTATTATGATTTTAATCTTTTACTATTAACTTTTTTTTATCAATTTTTAACAAATTTTGTTATTGTTTTGCAGATGTTACGCGCACGAACCGTGTAAGCCACACCAGACAGAAATGTTTGCGCCCAACCGCGTCTCGGCCACGTGGACCCTCACGATATTGGCCGTGACCGTGATGATTCGGGCCCACTGCCCGTCAAATTGCTCATGCGACGACGACACGCTGGTGGTCCTATGCAAAGAGGGAAACCTAGACGTGATTCCGATCACACTGAACCCGTCTATCCAGAGATTGATGCTCATGTACAACCGCATTAAGATCGTAGATGCATCTTTCCAGTTTTACGGTGCACTGCAGTATGTGGATATATCGCATAACCACCTGGTAAACATACCCAACAAAGGGTTTGAGGCCCAGGAGAAGCTCGTTGAGCTCCACCTGAATCACAATAAGATCTCATCAATCAACAACAAAACGTTCATCGGTTTAGCGTCGCTCACCATTCTGAACCTGCGTGGCAACTATCTAGAAGACCTACCCGATCGGCTGTTTGCAGCGTTGCCCAAACTCGAGGAACTAGATTTGGGCGCCAACCGCATCACCCGAATCGATCCAGCCTCATTCCAGGGCCTAACCAGACTCCGGGTGCTGTACTTAGATGACAACCAGCTCCGAGCTATACCCACACCCGCATTCAAGTTCCTAGGAAATCTGGCTGAGATGCGCATCGGCCTGAACGCGTTCACTACGCTGGACGACGACTGTTTTGCGGGACTCGGTAGGCTGTCCGTGCTCGAACTTACCGGCGCGGCATTGATCAACATCAGTGCCAATGCTTTCAAGGGCCTAACCGTGCTCAGGCGGCTGGTGCTGACGGACAACCGGCTGTCGGCTATACCCACCAAACAGCTATCTGACCTGAATCGGTTGGAAGACCTGTGTGTAGGGCAAAACGACTTTGTTACGATCGAACCAAATGCGTTCAAAGGGCTAGTCAACTTGCGATCGATCGACGTATCAGGCGCGTCCCAACTGTCTGTAATTAAGAAGGGCGTGTTTAACGACAACCTCAACCTAGAAACGATCAACTTTAGTAGCAACAAACAGCTAGCGACCATTGAGAACGGTGCGTTCATGGGGCTACCTAACCTCCGAAACCTGATTATGCGCAACAACGCATTCACTTCGTTTGCCGAAGCGATGGTCACTTGGCAAGAACTGCAGCAGATCGACTTGACCGAGAACCCGCTGGTATGCGAGTGTTCAGTGCTGTGGCTCAAGGAGTTGCTGGCTCGCCGCAACACGAGCCATGTGAACTGCGCCAGCCCGGCACAGCTCAAAGACAAGCCACTGAACTCTCTCGGATCCGATGATCTATCGTGCGCAAAGTACTATACTAGACAGCAAGCCATTGTGGGTGCGGTGTTCGGATGTACCGTGGCATTCATAGCGCTCATGTTGTTGTTGGCGTACCGGTTCCGGAAGCGTCTGCACCATTCCCTGAAGAAGACATTCTGGAACAAGGAGACGGTGAACCGAAAGGACTTGGAATACCAGAAGACATTCTCAGACGACGAATTTATCGTACGTAACACAAACACCCAACATCACACTGGTCCTCATGGACATCAACCACAACAACAGCAACCACACCATCACCACCATCAGCCCACACACCACAATTTGCAGCAGCACAACCAGCACCATGGTGGTGTTCAGCACCACAGTCAGCCCCAGCAGCACAAGCAGCAGCACCACCATCTGCAGAATTTTCAGCAGCACATCCAGCATCAGCAGCATCAGCATCAGCATCATGGCAATGACCATCACATGATRATGATGATGGCACCGGCACCACCACCCCCACCACCGCCTCCACTGCACCACGGCACGTACAGTCATCACAATCAACATATGTATCAGCCACAGCAACCACGTCACCAGAACACGATGCCGCACCGCAACGACAAGCCGATACCGGTCACGGAACTGTAGCTAGAGCTTTTCGCCTCAACGCCGACGGGCGAGAGGCGATACCAGGCCGCCGGAACGTCCGACGGTACTACTAGTGTCACCGGCTTTTCATACATTTCCGGCGAAATCAGCAAATACGGAGGCGGTGGCCAAACGTTAAACAACCGAACTCTACCACCACCCGGCTACCGCGTTTATCATCCACACTCTCTCCGTCGTTTTTGCGACTCTTAAGCCCAGCCACAAATAACACGCACCTACGGACCCTGTTTTACTTGTCCCTCCTAACCTAAACGACCCTGATCGCACCAATAAAATAATCCAACGTACACGATCCTGATCCTCTCGCCATCTTCCTCGACATCATACACCACCAGAAAACCACCATCCCACCACCGACTCAAGTACTACGGAAGCTGTCGTCTCGAGTGTTCTGGAGGATTGTGAGGCGGGTTAGAGTCTAAGAGATTTTCGTAAACCAATTACGCATCTCACCGATCGTGTGACATGTAAAACACGCTTTTTGCATCATTGTGTAGGTACGTGTTGGTGTATAATGTATACCGTTTGATGAAAATTCGAAAGAGTAAAGACTGTAGTCGTTGTGTTTCACGGGATACGTTTCATGATCGAGTCCGGAAAAATATTCAATATAGAAAACCAACACCGTCGTGGTCGCCGTTAACGTATCAACGCATCAACAAGCATCTGTGTTTGGAGAACGTTGGACACACACATTCTGGATTTAGTCATATAGTATTAGTTAAAAAGATAAATTTATAAGAAAAAATTTAAGTTTTTTAAAAAATATGATATAATCATTTTATTTTATTTTTTATATTCTGCACGAACATTCATGTGATCGACCCCTTGTATGAGTCAGGCGTTCTTCAATAAATAAATAAAGATACTGTTGTTGTAATCTAAAACCCAACGATTTTTTTGTGCTAATAATGATCAATTTTAGAAATCGTCACAATTATATAATATGTAGCTGTCTAATTTTTATAATATTATTATTATACTATCATAATATATATGTTATACATTAATATTTAAAATAACTTATTTAACATAATAATTACTCTCTTTTTTATATAATATAATATTATAATATTCAATATGGTTTCATAGTGGACTACGTTATAATATTACAACGGTATTTTTCTAAAAAAAAAAAGCAAAAAAAAATACATTTTGATTATTAGTAGTGTATTTAGGGTCGAAAAATATATTATTACGCAATTATTATAATACGTCTTTGTGCTTGTGAATGTTTTCAATTAAGTAGCCCTAGAAAAAAACTACACATAACAATGTTATCTAATGAAAATCTGTTGCATTTACCCGTAACGAAATGCACGGTAGACGACTATACATCGGTGTCGCATGCACTATGTCGATATGCATTATGTATTTTCTCACATCACACGGCCAGATTTCTTTAAAATGACACACTACGCACTCCGTCGGATATAATATTATTCTAGCTATTATATTATTCTCTCTGCTATCTGTTTCTATCACTGCAATTCAGAAAAAAAAAAAAAATATGTTTAAAACGATCTTCCAGCGTTTATTGGTAAATTAAATTACTATAATTATATTATTTTTTTCGTCGACTTGCTTTCTCTCAAGACTCGACGGCATTCGATACCTACGCGATCCACGACCCCAATTTCTTTTATAATTGTTTTTTATTTAATAATTTATAAATATTTAACAATGTATTTTTATACAACAATATTAGGTAGTGTTATTTATCCACTCGGCCACCTCTTTCTCACCCAAACCACTCTACACTTTTAACTATACTCCCTCGATTGCATACAGTCTACTACAAAGTATTCGAGTACTTCAAATCTGTCCTCACTCGAGTGCACTAAAGTTCCACTATACACACACGCGCGGCCACTGTGAACGCTGTTCAAAAATCTCGTTGCCTTCACGGCTGCGTTTGAAAATTATTAAACGGCCCCACTCGACCGCAGTTATTTATCGATTGACATTCCGGTGTAAATACATCAACGGCTACTTCTTACAAACGGTTTTAAACGAAACTCAACAACCACACCAACTACAGGTAAACATAGGTACTGTAACAGTCGTATATATGTAGTGACTGTTATTAGATGCCGTCTAACATCGATTTTACGGTCGTTTTTTTTTTAAAAAAAGTGCGTTTAACAATTTCAAACGAACGACATCACACGATAAAACAAAATATTATTATGTAAACGAATGGGTCGCGCAGTATTATAATTTAACCACTGTTTGGTGTCATTAAAAAATAAAAAGTTAATATTGACTATAAAACTTTGTGATAATGATATTTTCGCGTGTGCTTGTCATTTCAACAGTATATTATAATGATGATCATTTTGATCAATCATCTATACGTGTCCCTCGACTACGCGTTAAATTCCTACCAAATAATATTATTATGTTCACATATATTATTTGACCTCTTCAAAATTTTTACCTATTTTTAACTTAAACTAATTACACGTAAATGTTGAATTCATTATTTTTAATGTTATTGTTATTATTTTTTTTACGCGTAAAAATAATTAACAGCGACCCTCCTCCCAACACCTTTCTCTTAACGCGTGTCTATGTGTTTTTATTTTTCAACCACTCACAACCTTCGCCGAGATATTTAACAACAAAAGCGATCTATTATTCATGGCCATATGAACTTCATTATCAGTCGTTATCATTTTTTACTTTCGCAAATCTCTGCAAAAACGTCGACACGTCATACTTGGATTACAGTCGACTTATAAGAAATTTACGTTGTTTTCGTCTCAACACATTTCCCTGTCTATTTTGAAGTTTACAAACACAATTAAAAGTTAACGCTCATATTCGGTTAACATTATACATAAATAACAATCACGTTTTAGAGCAGGAGGCTTACAAAAGCAATGATGAAATTCGTTTGTTTTATATTTAAATAACAAAACAATGCTTAATTATATATTTTAATTTTTTACTAGTCAATTGGGTCGTTAATGTAGTAGTTTAGTGCATTGTTGGAAAGTTAAAATAAACTAACAGCCCTTAATGTTATAAACCATATGACTAAAATAAGTATTTATTTTTTGTCTTTTTACCTGTAACAGTTGCTACCTAATAGTCATTCATTGGTGTAGTTATTTTTTTTTAAATAAAAGTTACGTGATTATTACAGAGAATAATAGCGCGTTATCTGTTGCCATAAATAAATAGGTCATACTATAATATATTATATATAACTACGTGTGTTTATCATGTACATAAAAATGTATAATTATAAGTGTGAATATAAGTCCAACCATATGTCAGTTATCTTTATTAACTAAGTTATTGATTTATACCGCATCAGGCCACGGTGCTTTATTATTATGTATTTATTGATTGTATGATAATAATAATATTTAATTATATTAAAACAATCATACAACACACCCAAACGGGTAAACGAACACTCGTGTATAAACTTAGTTATTTTTCTTAATCCTACTTTCATTTAATACTATATAATATAATAATATACTATTCTTATTATATTTACGTAATTATAATAAATTGTTTACACATTCTAAGTGAACATTTTGATTTCCGTGTTTGTTTCGTATAGGTATATTTATATTTATAAATATATACATAAATATAATTATTACCTATATTATTATTATTAATTATTATGTGTATAATATATATTATGTAAAATACATATCATTTGTATTTGATTAGGCCATAGTTGTGAGCGTAATGACTCGAATTATTAATTTGAGTTATGACGTTGTATTATTTTGTACTTATATAATATATTTATAGTGTATAAAAATGTATAATTGTGTACTGTACAGAATGTTAATTATATTTGATGCTCATAAAAATACAAATGCTCGTTGTTTTATGGTACCTAGTCATATGATTTAGTGTTGTGTATATTATACTGGTACAACTATTTGAATACCTGGTAAAACCCCTCCCTTTTCCATTACGGGGACAACCACATAAGTAAATATTAACAGATCAACAGACGGGCACAATGACAAGTAATGAAGAATATTATACAAAAACGAGAATTGTTTTTGACCGTCTACAATTGACTATCTTTAATAGACACTTAGGACTGTGCTTATAATATATTATACGTATTGTATAATAATATATCCTATGTAGATCAAAAGTTCCGGTTTGTTTTTTTGTTCAGCTATTGTTATAAGGATAAATCGATAGCGATGAAACGACTTGTGATTAAATAACAATAATAAACGTAAATAAAGTATAATAGTTTTTTTTTTTTTTATCATTTATCACCACTATTGTTTATTATATAGGTATTAATATATTTAAAGTAAAGTATTAAATAGCGATTGATATTAAACGGTATTTCTTTAAAAGTTATTTAGACTACCACTTTGTTTTATGATCATTTAAAATTTTTTAACGACTTAGGTACTGTGTAAATATTATATTTATACGTATACTATATATACGTATATAATTATTATATTAGAATATTGAAATTAATGACAAAAACATCAACACAGACCAAAAAGGATTATTGTAATAGATAGTCTATTAAGTAATAACCCTAAAGACAATGTTTCCTGCATTAAACTAAATAGTTTACAATAATAACAAATAGATATATGTATAATCCCGGTTGGTAACTACTTATTACTAATATCAACATAAGTTATAACTAATACAACCATGGAGTACAAATTATCCGTAACTAAAATAAAACATTCAAAATAAAAAAATACAAATACAAATTATGGCGATATTATACTACKGAAAACGACTTAATTTTATAACAATAAATGTATAAAACGAAATATGTGTCGTGTTGCACTCATATTATAATTAGAAATAATGAAATGGCCGTCAAGTTGGCACCGGCAAATCATATCAAACATTTTCTAGGGATTCGTTATAATTTGATTGGTCCTTTTGAAAATTATTTAAAGCCCCTAATTTTTGAAAAATTCTCAAAAAAGTAACATCCTAATGGTATCTTTGCAAGTGCGCCAGCACATTGTCTGGTTCCAGAAAAAAAAAAATCAAACAATTATTTTTCAACAAAACACTGTGCAAATGTTGAGTAGGTAATTTTAAAATGAATCCCTAGCATTGTGATTAAAAGTAAACAAATTCACCCTTTTATTGACATGGAATTCGAAATTAACGGTTTGTTGTGTTAAAGTCATAGATCAAGTGAAGACACAGAGGATGATTATCAAAATCAAGCAAATTTGTTGAAATAAATTGTTACAATTGAATAATGTATCGGTGCTGATGTCAACATTTAACCCCCCATCAAAGATAACATGAGTTCTAGAAAAATTCAAAAAAGCCTCATCAAAACCAAGCAACCATATAATAGTTGTTTAGAATTGGTAAAATGATGTGGTGTGCCCGCAATTATGGTAGTAGCATTTTCGTTGGGGATTTTAAAAGTTTAATGGCGATGATTTAATAATATGATAAAACAAAGATGACCTAGAAACATCTATCAAATAGTTGATACTGTTTTTATACGTATTCTTAACATGATGCCAACTTCACAAACATAATCTTGAGTGAACACAATATAATATTGTTATACACGTGTCATTGATTTTATTTTTTTAATATGCTTTTGAAGGTCTTCACGAACGCTTTGATTGAATTAAGTAACTTGTCAGTGCACGAAAAAAAACATAAATGGTAAACGAGTAAGTAAACATTGGGAAAGAATTAAGAGTAAGATAGAGATAAGGATTAAAATTAAATAACGAATGACGAAATTACATTATTACCTATATTTGTGTAATCAAGTGAACCGATATTTACCAATGATTTAGACTAAAATAAWAAAAGGAATTGATTAATGTCGATTAAACAAAAAATGTCATTGTAATAAAGAAAATCAAAGGAAAATGAAAACTTAGTACGATCTATAATAGTTTCATATTTTAGATTATGAAAAGAACGGAAAAATTTAAATATTGATCTTATGACGATTTTATTTATCACATGATTTAAG